CATCGAGAGGATGTCGAGACCATCGAGTGATTCAATCACTTGTTTGTCTTGTAATCAAACGGATTCACTGTTTACAGCGAGAGAGAGAGAGAGAGAGAGAGAATTTGGTGTGCCATATACCAGTCAGTACATCAAATTGATTTAGAAAACAATTACCGGTCAATACTATGTAATGACGTGTAGGAGAAGGTTATAAGGCCTCCCTTGTCTCCCATCAACTAATCATTTAATCTGAAATCATTTTATATGAATGTTGTATGAGTTGAAGGGGAACTGTTTAAATAATATATAATTATTACGAATAACCATTATAAAATTTAGATATATAAGTTATAGTGTTTACGTACAGGTGAACTTAATGATATTCTAAAAGTGAATCGTAAAATAGTATACAATTTATTATGCAAGCTATAAGTTATATTATAACATTCAAAACCATGATTCTTGTGATATTAATAATAATTTTCTAAATTAAAAATAAGAGTGATTATAGCCTTTAAGACAAGAATTTAAATAATTGTAAAATAACACTAAATAAGTGATTTTTACAAAACGATCTTTATATCAATTTACTATATACGGGTATATTCTAGTAACCTAATGTTAGTAATTCTAGTAACTAGTATACTTGTTACAAAATATACTAGTTAAAAAGTTATGTTTTAATAAATACAAATCTAAATGTTTGTCGAAATTGTAATATAGATTGTGAAACAACATTTAGTAGCTTTATATTACTGCCACATATTCTATCATTTGAATATTCATCACTAACTCTGAATAACTCAACATATTCTTGAATATTATCAACCAGAATATCGTAAATTACCAGAGTAAGTCATTTCATTTATCTGTGGGTTCTGAACGATTCTTGTGGGCACGTAATACATGAATATAGAGTTATTTTCTAGATATTCTTGCGATAACACTTTGACATACAGAATCTCCATTGGATTAATCAATAAAATTCCGTTCAAATAACACAAACAATTTGGTTATGCCCTAACTGTATGAGTGCAGTACAATACGGTATGCTAGAGGGAGCAGTGGAAATTATAGCCAACACCAACTCACATAATACAGTAACATGTTATGCGAATTATGATATACTAGGCGATTCTGTGCGATTAGTGAGCCATTGCCACTGCATTGCATGGACTGACTGCTAGATTACTGATATAGTGACTAACTATGAACTATTGACTAGTCTGTGATGTTTATATCATTTGATCTCATTTTTATTATTTATTTCTTAAGATTTATTCAAATATTTAATCAATTGTTAAAAGTTGTTGTGAGACATGAGTGTATTGTTTGCATTGAAATGAATATATAAGTGAATGTGTGTTAAATTGATGAAAATATAGTCATCCAGTTATGCTTGTGGTGACAGTTATTGGTTGACCTGATCTCCGGTGACCCCATACTTACAGTGACTATAGATTGAGATTTAGTTATGGTTGTAGTGATAGATCCTGTTGTGACCCATAATAACCACTGATTAATTGTCTCGGAGTCATAACCTGTTATTGAAAGACTTGTCTCTCATCTCTCGCTGTAAACAGTGAATCCGTTTGATTACAAGACAAACAAGTGATTGAATCACTCGATGGTCTCGACATCCTCTCGATGACCATATTTTGCACCAGAATTTCAAGAATAATAGTCAATACGAGAGAGACTGGTCTCTCATACCTCATACATACGATTCCTATGAGTATTATCTACAGTTATATCGTATATAAAATTGTTATTATAATAAATAACTAGTTAATAAAAAGTACATTTAGATGCCAACTAAATACAGTTATAATTGAGTGAATAGTGTACTCAGGATTTCCCTATAGTGTACAATGCATTGGAGACGTGTTCGCTGGCATCCAATGATAGCTATAATTACATCAACCGAAACATCCTTTAAGTATGAATTCAATCCCATGTATCGATTCAATAGATTATAGATCTTTGAATTAATTTTAATTTAATTTTATATAATTGTTAACAAAATGTTTAATTTTTGTTATACATTGTCTAATGTCTAGCGTTTACTAATCATATCTAAAATATAAGTTATAACTGAATTTAGGTTTTAGTCTTAATTTCATAACTTTTATATATTTTTAATATAATATTATCCAAAAATATATGAATTATTGGTTAAGATTTCAAATTGTGAAGTGTATTCGTAGAGTGAATGGGTTTTTATGTTTTGATATTTAATTTCAATTTATGTTAATTCAGTAATTAATACAATGCTGTCCTTCAAATTAGTAATAATTTTGTGTTAAATATAGTTTCATAATTTAAACATACATGGTTAGTGAGACTTCCTTTAAATTTAATTAACTGTCAAAACTGTTGGTTAGTTTTAAGTGTAAATTAATTTTATACATTAGTTGAGTGCATGAGAGCTACAGTCGTTCCCTCCGTTCCTCTCTCTCCCCAAACGCAACAAACTTTTTAATTCAAGTTTAATTAAACGTAAAGTGTATTAAGTTTTTCTTTATCATAAGGAACTCCATCGGAAGGATGTCTCGACTTTTCTATACTTACGGGAAGGTCTGCGCGTCTCATCCGTGCGAAGTGATGGTCGCCTTCTTCTCACTCCTCTTCATATCCATGTTTTCGATGGGCTCTCGAGTCCTCAGCCAAACAAATACATACTCTTCCGGTCATTGCCTTAAAAATAGTGAATGCTTTGAGGTATGCATTGAGTGGACGCTTGGTTTTGTGCTTAAAAATAATATATTGTTTGAAAATTTGTTAACAGAAATTAGAGCTGAAAAGTGCTGAGAGCTTAGCGGATACGATATTAATGATATCGAGATGTTTAGCGGTTTTCTATATCTACCACCAGTTCAAGAATCTGTACAGTTTGGGATCCAAATATTTGGTCGGAATCTCGGCCCTATTCACTGTATTCTCGAGTTTCATATTCTGTTCGGCCGTCTTGTATGCATTGAATGCAAATTACTTTGAGTTAAAGTAAGACTTTGATTTTGGTTGTAAACGAAAATAAGTTGATTTAAATTATAAGTCTATTTGTGTCCAAAAAATGTAGCGACGCTCTGCCCTTCTTTTTTCTCTTATCCGACTTATCGAAAGCCAGTTTATTAGCGCAGTTCGCCCTCTCCTCCAATACCAGAGTACGTACAACTCATTTGCTATTCATTTGTTGAGTTTATTTTAAATTTTATAATTAATGCTTTTGTCTGATTAGGAGGAAGTCAGTGAGAATATCGCGAGAGGAATGGCTATTTTGGGGCCGACATTGACTTTGGATACGTTGGTCGAGACGCTAGCAATAGGTGTGGGAACGGTCTCTGGTGTGAGTAAACTCGAAGAGATCAGTTGCTTCGCGTGTATATCCGTTCTCGTCAATTATGTCGTCTTTATGATCCTATTCCCCGCCTGTCTTTCACTGGCATTAGAGGTAATCATCAAAATGATGACAATTCTTACCAAATATAACTAACGATTGATTGCTCGTCACAGTTATCACACAATCGCGAAGATATCGCACCCGTTTGGCAGTTGAGTTCATTGACTAAAGTCTTGCAGTTAGAGTCGGAAAAGACACCAAATCCAGTGATACAGCGAATCAAACTGATTATGTCTGCGGCCCTAATGCTTGTGCACACACTTAGCCGATGGCCTATCGGTGCTGATTCTGATTCTTCCTCTTTGGACTCCACTTTCAAACACTCCACTCATGACTTCCTTATCGATCGCGAGCCAACATTCGTAGAGACTTTGTTCAGAAAATATTTGACTGTCTGTTCAGAACAGGTAGTGATGATCGGCCTGGTATTCGCACTGGCAGTCAAGTATATATTCTTCGAGAATAAGGAGTATTATAACGAACACATTAAACATCAATACAAACATGAAATGCAGCAAAATTTGAAGACACGAAACACTGAAGAGAATGCTGTTTGCAAACCAAGAAATCTTGAAACGCCGAGCATTTTAGTGACCGCTCAAGACTCGGACACAGAATCCATGATTTATGAGAACTCGAAGTCACAGAACACCGAAAAGAATGTTATCTCGAGAGACAACTCCGTTAAAGGCGACGCTTCTGATGAAGAAAAGTCGACCACTTTCTTCATTGGCGACGATTGCTCTTCAGATATGAGTGAAACTGAATTCATTGATCGAGAGGTTCAGACAGAGGAAAGTCGTATCGGATGTGACATCAAGTCGACCACTTGTGAAGAATCAAAAGAAATCAGAGATATTCAGACTTTACTCGAGTTGTACAACAGAGAAGACGGCATCAATCAGTTGACGGATTTGGAGATTCAGTGCTTAGTAGAGAATAAACGGATCCCATCCTATAAATTGGAGTCCATTTTAGGGAACGCAGAGAGAGGTGTAGCCATCAGAAGACGGATTATAGAGAAGTCGTCTCAAAAGAGCGGAATCCTAGGAAAAGTGCCGTTTACTCAATATGACTACTCCCTTGTGTTAGGCGCCTGTTGTGAGAATGTCATCGGATACATACCGGTGCCGTTAGGTGTTGCCGGACCTTTGCTTCTCAACGATAAACAATATTATGTGCCAATGGCTACCACTGAAGGCTGTCTGGTGGCCAGTACTAACCGCGGCTGTCGTACTCTTTTGTTGTCCGGTGGCGTCCGAAGTAGTGTTTTCGCGGATGGCATGTCGAGAGGACCGGTGGTTCACTTCCCGAGTGCTATGCGAGCGGCAGAAGCGATGAATTGGTTGCAAGAAGAGGACAACTTTCAACGGATTAAAACCGTTTTCGACGCGACGTCTCGTTTTGCGCGTTTGCAGCGAATCCACCCGCGAGTGGCCGGACGCTACCTATTCCTGCGATTTGTTGGCTCCACTGGGGATGCGATGGGAATGAATATGTTGTCCAAAGGCACCGAATCTGCTCTCAACGAACTCAGAAAAGTGTTCACTGATATACTGGCCACGTGTCTGAGCGGCAACTTTTGTACTGATAAGAAGGCTGCGGCAGTCAATTGGATTGAAGGCAGAGGCAAATCAGTGGTCTGTGAGGCCATCATTCCGGCCAAAGTTATCGAGAATGTATTGAAGACATCGCCCGAAGCACTCATGGAACTGAATATAAGCAAAAACCTGATTGGATCGGCAGTTGCCGGCACTATAGGCGGTAACAATGCACACGCGGCCAACATTGTGGCTGCCATTTACATTGCTTGCGGACAGGTATGCTGTTATTTATTTTGATTTTAATTTGATTAATTAGCTATAATTGCTTTGATAACTAGGACCCGGCACAGACAGTTGGCAGTTCTAATTGCATTACCCTGATGGAAGTTCACGACAATGATCTGCACGTGTCGTGCACTATGCCATCCATCGAAATAGGAACCATAGGCGGCGGAACAGTACTCCACCCTCAGAGCGCTTGTCTTGAGGTACGAATGGATCAATTGATATACTATAAGATGGTATTAATAATGATTTATCTTAACAGCTGTTGGGAGTGAAGGGTTCATCGGAAATAGCGGGCAGTAATTCGTCTGAATTGGCGACTATAGTGTGCGCCACAGTCTTGGCCGGGGAGTTGTCTCTGATGTCAGCCTTAGCGGCCGGCCATTTGGTTCGCTCGCATATGAAGCACAACAGATCCAACATTAATATAAACGCCGATTCAGTTCCTCTTTCATCCAATCTTCTAAAAAGTGTGACAAATGGTTAGTCAAAGACACGGCGTATCAAACATTTGATAACTTTTTAAAGTATAAAATATTTTATAAATTATTTATATTTAACATCGACTCAAATATTATTATAAGTTATATAGAAATAAACTTTATTTTATATCGAGAATCAATTCATTGTTGTTATAATACATTTAATAAATCACATGAATATAAAGACAATTTGTTTTGACGTTTTCGTAGTTTGAAATTATTTCGCAGACAGTAATCGTTGCGATTAGTCATCGTTAAGACAAACCACTGCGAGGGGTAGTAATCCAGTGCTTTGTTTGGCTTTTCAAACACATCGCTGATAGTGACCCCTAAACACCAATTATGCCTTAATTTCTGCATTCATTACAACAATTAGTCACAAATACCTGAGATATTGAAGCGAATGGTTGTCTGTTTGAAGCAAATGGTCTCGAAAATTGGCTCCGGATTTAAATACTGTTGTTTTGAATAACTCTTTTTGTGAGCCATTTGTGGCTCGTTTTGCCCTCTTCTCAACTTCTTAATCGTCAATTTTATACCTAAAGTCGGATCACTAATAGTGCTCTTAATCTGGAGCACATCCGTAGCATCTGTTTCCTGTTCGTAGGAGTTGTCGTCCTCGAGAGTGGCACTCAAATCACTTCTCATGTCTTCCGCATGAGTGGGCGCTTCATAGAAGGCGTCCAACAACTCCTCTCCTGTTTGCAGTGATTCTTGCGTTTCAAACAGATTTGTCTGTTGTTTAAAAATGTTTGTATTTATGGTATAGAATTTGGATCTAATTTCGTGACAATCGGTCGGAAGCCTTGCGTACAAGGAATCGCCAAAAATGTCAGACAATTGGTAGTATAGGTTGAGATCGACTTTCGTATCACAAGAACTCTTTAGTGTTGAGCGTGTCTTCAGACAAATCAATTCAGCGATATATAAAAGTTCTCCAAAGACTATGAGTCCGTCTAATCTAATCTGTGGCTCAGTTGCGGACGAGTCGATGACAGGCAAGAGGTGACTGAAGTAGTGGTCGAGTATTGGGCACAAGTGTTCAATGATGACATCGTATCCTAATGACTGGAAAGCCTTAATCGCGCCGTAATGGGCGCCAAAAGGCTTGAATGAGTCGAGCAAACAGTTCCGCAAACCATCGAAAATCTCTTTCTTAAGACGATTGACGACAAACTGAGAGAAGCGTTCATTCAATGCCTTAACCAACAGATGAGAAGCCGAGTCCCGCAGACACCAGTGGTCTGCCATAGGATTCAAATCGTCGACTATGCAGATGAGAATGGATCGGATTAAGACATTGAGATATGGATCAGTTGCCAGAAATACGGACGGATTCCTCAGCAGACACTCAATTGTGTTTAAAAACCTCTTGAGTTGCGAGATGTCATGACTTTGTCTTTTGATACCATTTTGGATGAAGTTTAGCAGATATGGCACAACAGGACTTATAAAGCAATTGCTCGACAAGTCCTTCAAGATTCTCACGAAGAACTGGTGATCGGTTCCCAACACAGCCGTCATTACATTCCTGTAATAATTCATGAGTTCTTCGCTCAACTCATTGACACCGGAATTGTCACCGTTTGGTGTATGTGTTGATCGCATGGGAAGCCAATCCAAATCCAATTGAATGTCATGTTTGAAGACTTTGATATCACAAACAGTTTTGTCAAACATGTTGTCCACCTCTTCGTTCAGATCGATGAGCGGGTCCTCACAGACGAAGACATTCGCCTCTTTCACGAGAACCGAATCGATGGGCGAGTCGTTGGCCTCGAAGCCCATCACTTGATGACAATGCGAGGCCTCCATCGCTGTCCGCAAGTGAGATGTGGTCAGACGTGTGGTCCTCGTGTGGGCCATGCTTTTGATGGCGTTGTCCACCAATTGTCTCAAGCGATAGCTCACGTCGGATGACAGCTCCAGAAGCGCCTCATCGGTCACCGCAATATCGATACCCATTTGCTGTGCGACCAATTGGATGGACTCTTTGGGCCACAAGACATACCGGCTCTTCGTCTTCGCGCTGTTATTACTATTCATTGAATTCATTGTCATTTCAATCAATCATTTGTTGTTATATTAAATCACAACTCATTTCACAATCCATTTGACAATCCATTCAAACATTTCACTCATAATTACGGCTATATTTTGGCTCACATTCAGTGCCCACTCATTGAGGCACTCAATGCCTACTCTATGGCCCACTCGTCGCACTGACCCTCACATACTGTATGACAACGTTTTTCATGAATATATCAAAACTGTATTCAAATCAAAACAGACGTCTGAAGACATGCTTTCATTGCATCCAAAGTTTGTTTGAATTGAATTCAACGCTAATTATGATTAAAACACTTCTGACCACCACTTTGGCGACCATCAACGGCTGCCAAAGAGTGCACTTCTCGTCCAAACACCAGTTATTGTCTTCATTTCTCAGACAAAACCATTTGATCGCACGATGTTTGTCGTCATCGGCGGCGGCAACGGATCCCAAGCATACAATTTCGGACACGTTTCGAACCAACGAAAGCAATCCATGCCATCACTCGACACAACACTTATCCATGTATTACACCATACCTGCAGACGTGGCCAACAAGTTGTTTGTTTTGGGAGGTTTTGATTCACGACAACAGACTTCGTTCAAGACGTTCAGAGAGACCGCTCTTATGGTGAGGCGTCCGGCGCTCGAAGTCATGGATTACTTGCGAAGAGCCGACTATCGGAGACCAGTCAACAGATATGTTCTTTGTATGCATTCCTCCGCTTACCTAAGCCTAAGTTAGTGTAATAAGTCATGTCTTGTCTTAACAGACGGCAACGTCGGCTCCGGAAAGACATTCACTTTGAATCATGTCTTGCACTACGGATCCGTTGAGAAGTATCTTCTGCTGTATTGTCCGAAACCGACGGATTGGCTCCGATATCCCGAAGAAACGGCTCAATCGGTCTACAAAAGCGAACGAATGGATACACCAATCGATGCGGCCGTTTGGTTACAACACTTCCGGACACATAATAACCAATTGTTGGATGAGTTAGACGTGAGTTGTGATCACTCTAGCATCCATTCCTACAGTTCTTGTGTCGTATCCGCCAACAGTTGAGAGCATCCAAACAATACGTATGGAGTCAGAGGGAGATCACCGAAGCTGGCGATCCTCTCAAGAATATTCTGGAGCACGGAATCAGTCGAATAAAACACGCGTCCGATTGTATGGCAGTTGTGCTCAAAGAGATCAAAGCGCAGAGTAGTAGCGGCAAGTATAGGGTTCTGGTGGTCGTCGACAAAGTGAACGCTTTCTACGAAATGAGTCAAATTAAATACCCGGACAGGAGTTACGTGGATGCGGACAACATTACCATTGCCCGCGCCTTCAAGAAACTGTTCACCAATGACTGGGTCTGTGCTTATTGTTAGACAACTCATTTGATCCGCAATTCAATGTGTTTTTTGCAATGAATTTAAATATTTTAGACGAACGGCGCTGTCGTGGCCTCGGTTTGTAAGAAACTAATGGTTCACTATAGGATCTTGAAAGTAGCCGGTATACCCAAACATAAACCCAGATCCAGACCATGGGATACTTGGGGTCCTTTCAGTGTTTCCCATTTGAGTGATTTGCCCCTTGATTTGCTAACAGATGCGGTATTTTTAAATTATAATTTTATTTTAAAATTGTGCTAATTTTATATAATTTTAGGGATTCAAAGATTTCGATCCATTTATTCCTATTGAAGTACCCGTTTATGACGAGAAGGAAATGGAGAGTTGTCTCAACTATTATAACGACAGGAAATGGATCCAAAGACCTGTTGCTAAAACGGTTGACGGCAGGAATGAAATTAAATTTTTATCGGCTTATAATCCTTTAGAGACTTATGAGATATGTTGTGCCCTTTAATTGTCCAATAAAATCAATTATGTAATTATTATTTATATCATTTTGGTTTTCTAATATATTCATTGATCACGTATAATGTTTGTATATGAAAGTAGAATATGAATACAATTTAGAAAAACAATTTTTATTAAGCTTGTTTTTTGAATCAAGAATTCTTTAACAATTTTTATTTCAGAAATATTGTTAAAAGAAGTAAATTTTTATATATTTTATAAACTTAATGGAAATCAGTCATATTATTTAAAGATATAAATTTACCGTAGTAGATAAATATTTTATTAGTTATAGTTAGAGCTTAAACTATGTTACCTAATAGGAATTTGTTATTTTATGATATTTTATAAATAAACTTATACTATATAACTAATTATTAAATTAACTTAATAAATGTCACAAAATAAAAATAGATTTATAGGAAAAACATAGCATTAATTTTTTTACAGGTAATTATTTGAAGCTACTGTATTTGATTTTATTTACACAAATCATAAAATGGGAAATGTGTTTTAAAAGTCGGAATATGATCAATTTAATGTATGGTTATAAACAATGAGGAACAGACAATATTTTCTAATTAATTGGTCTGATATTGGATTTAAATAGCAAATAAATACAATATAAATGGTACAATGTAATACTTAATGTCAAGAATTACTGTACAATACGTTATAATGTGAGTAATATATTTGAGTCCATAAAACAATATTAGTGGAGTAAAGCTCGATATCATATGCGAGACTGGGTTCGCAAAAAATAGCTTCAAAATAGTATTGAAGTGTTGGTTATATTTAGTGTATTTTCTAGTATTTTATCGACTCGTCTGACACAACAGAACTCTATGTTCTATGCACTCAATGTATTCACTGCTGTGTTAGAGAGCAGTGAATATATGGTTATATTCTGTGCTCTAAGTCTGAGGTGATCTCCTACAGCATTACAGTCAATGCATTGCCACCAACAATGCATTCATTGTGAGAGTGAGCTCCTGGAGTAGCACATGGACTCTGACTGACTGACAGTGAGTGCCAGAGAATGAGAGTCTGGCCATCAGTTGTGTTGGATCCGTACTATGAGTTTGAAAACTAATCATATCTTTTGACGAAACTTATAACAAAATAATGGCTTTTGTTTGGAGTAGATATGAGCACAGAATCATATATATTCTCATAGCTGTGCTCTACTCTATGGTTATGATAAACTTTTATCTTACATATCAACTGAATAACCAGTGCAGTAGAAAACTTATTTGTCAATACAGTGAATACAGTGAACCTGAATTGAATGAAAGACTCAAAAATGAGAAAACAATAGAAAGTGACACAAAAGCCGCAAATGAAGAGCTGATAGAAAGTCGTGTCCGCAGAGATGTGCGACTATTACACGACAATACATATCGTAGTATTGATTACATCAATGAAAACAATGATTCTTTGACTCCAATTCCTTACGACTACCCATTGCCTCCTCATCTCAGTGCTGACCATTCGCCTCATTCCCATCACTTAAGACATCACAAGAAAGTGAAGTCTCGTTCACCTCCTGAGCAGCCTTTTGATGAAAATAGCGGCCCATCCGTTGAATTCTTCCCAAAACCACAGCCAACTCAAGAAACTCCAGGATATGTATGGCTTACATCTTATTCAAGAATTCCTGTGAGTATTCAAATCATCACATTTTCTGTTCAACTATTTTGTGCTTTAATTTACACTTTTTGAATAAGCCTTTCCTTTTAGCCTATTCTGACTTGAATTGCATTGTTGAATACAAATTAGTTTATCGTGTGCTCTATGTTTGCACCCGAAGGCAAGGGATAAAAACCAAATTTGTCCACATTTTCATTTGATTATATTTTTAAATTCTAGTTCTTCTTTAAAATCTTATTGTTTTCGCATTTGATTTCTTTCTTTTTGTAATTCAGGGAAATAGCAATTTTATAAATCATAAAATGTTTCATTTTTATGATACAGTACTACGATATAAGCCATAAAAGCCTTATCTATGCCTCCTTTTCCTTCGCTAACAATTGCCGCACATTCCTCCCGAGGCGTCAGATTTTCATCTCTTTTCACTGTATTTTTTATTTCACTATAAACTCAAATGAATTGTTCAAAAAGCATTCTTTACTCACTTTTATCACATTTTTATAACTTTTAGTTTATTTTAGATGTGATTTTTATCCCTTGTTTATTGAATATACATTTAGTATAAAAACATTTTTTTCAATGATTTTTTTGCATGAAATAAAAATCAAATAAGTTTGACAACAAGTTTTGGTGTAATGTTGTGTTTGTGTTTGTGTTTTGCTGAATTTCAGTGAATATTGAAATGTCTTTAAGTAATTATAGTGAACGGACAGAAAGACAGTGGAGAGAGAGAGAGAGAGAGAGAGAGAGAGAGAGATGTATGAATGGATACGGTCTTTGTGTTCATCTGTACGTAATTGTATTGCACTCTATGTAGTGATAATGCACTTCATAATAATGCAGGTGTTGTTTGCCATCACTTCCATTCTGTTCAACAAAATTGAGTTTCTTTTTTGCTATATATTCACACATTTACACAGAAATAAATATAATATTATATTATACCGGTACAATTTCAGTAAAGTATTGAGACTTAAATTTAGTTTTTTTAGTACAAATATTATTAATATTTATTTGCTTTCAATTGTCTTTTAAAGACACTTTTATATCCAAACTATTATTTATATGATGTTTAGATTAAGGATTAAGTATTTCTATACTTATGTAAACTCAACCCAACATTTTGAACACTTTTTGAGATAATTTGATATTTCTGTTCAATTCTTTCTCATAGCGTCTGAACACATGCTTTTCCGCCCATTTGTTCCCATTTATTGCTCACCATTTCCATCATTTTCTTCAATTATCGCTAAAATGGACTTAAAATTTTAGTTTCAATTTTTTCATTATAGACATCAATTTAAATCTGCACTTAAAAGCTTTTTTATATAAATCACAAATGATTTATAAGACATAAAAATCAATACAAAATATAGCAGTATTATTAATACATTTATATTAGGTTCGCAAACATTAATTAAATTAAGTTTGTATTAATTCTAAGCGTCAAATAATTATTATAAATTTAATAAACTTCTTTTCTTTCATGTTTTATATATAATGTTTAAATTAAATTATTAATATTTATTTGCTTTCAATTGTCTTTTAAAGACACTTTTATATCCAAACTATTATTTATATGATGTTTAGATTAAGGATTAAGTATTTCTATACTTATGTAAACTCAACCCAACATTTTGAGCACTTTTTGAGATAATTTGATATTTCTGTTCAATTCTTTCTCATGGCGTCTGAACACATGCTTTTCCGCCCATTTGTTCCCATTTATTGCTCACTATTTCCATCATTTTCTTCAATTATCGCTAAAATGGACTTAAAATTTTAGTTTCAATTTTTTCATTATAGACATGAATTTAAATCTGCACTTAAAAGCTTTTTTATATAAATCACAAATGATTTATAAGACATAAAAATCAATACAAAATATAGCAGTATTATGAATACATTTATATTAGGTTCGCAAACATTAATTAAATTAAGTTTGTATTAATTCTAAGCGTCAAATAATTATTATAAATTTAATAAACTTCTTTTCTTTCATGTTTTATATATAATGTTTAAATTAATGAATTTTCCGAAGAATTCTTACAAACTTCTATCCTTTTGTTGTCTCTTTTTGTCATTCAATGGACAATGACATACAATATCACAGAATTTTATAGTAAACAAAAAGAATATAATACAAGTTTGACAAAACATCAACCTATGAGAAAAATGAGCCAAATATCCAGAATTTATTATAACTTTTTTCTCATGACTCATAATTTTGTTCATTCTCTCCGTGTATCAACTCTCAGAGAGAGAGAGAGAGAGAGAGATATTAGCCGATTATAATATTGATCAGAATGACATCTAAATGGTTGCAAAATTAAGAAAGTTAGCATAAATTAGATTGATAATCACGAATGTGTCTGTTATTCTGTATGTAGAATACATTATATGCAAACAATACAAACTTAATAAACTAAAGCCATAATAATTTTAATAAAACTCTCATTTGGCTCATTATTTATATATTTAATGGCTACAAACAAATAATAAACTCGTTGTAGGCTCTAAAATATTTATTAAAGTTATTAATAATTGAAAAATTGTTGACATTTGTTAAATGCATAAATAAATGTTAAAGTTTTAAATTTTAAAATATTTATCTTGCTTTGTCATATTTATATTATTTTAAAAAATTATTTAGAGTATTATGAATTTTATAGTTATTTAAAAAATATAGGATTGAAATAAATAAATAAGTTATGAATACAATAAAAAATATGTATACCATGTGGACCGGGAAGACCTCTTTCCGCTGCCGGACAGTACCGTTTGGACGAAAGACAATATTCTTGAAGGACTGGTAACTAAAGAATAAAAATATTTATCTATTATATAAAATTATTATAATATATTAACCACAGTTTCTTAATAATATGTGAGTTATGGGATATATTTCACACTATATATTGAAATGAAAACTTATTTATAATGTATAAAAGAAAGAAAACAAACGATTCTTTAAAATATGACACTTATTGAAAACATACAGAAATCTTAGATTTTATAGATTTGCATAACTTTTATTGTAAATCATTAAAAATATTCACTGCTTTAATAAACACATACAATATATATAAGATATAAAGTTATATAAATATATTCAGTCATAAAATCAATGCAAAGGGTGTTAAGGAATAAATTGAATGATTGATGACTTTGAGTGAAAGAATGCAAATAAACAACAGAAATGAGAAATACCAGCACTTGTGGTGTAATACTATTGCATACATGCATTGCATTCAACAGAATTGTATGTTACACAGTAGTCTACTGTAGATTAAAGTAAAAACATTTGGAAAATCTTTATTCATTAATTAATACCATTTACTAACGATATAATCTAACAGAATCTGCCATAATGTGCAATCCATGT